TTGTATAAAATTAAATCATTCGCTGATTTAAATTGCAATCAAGTTTTGCAGTAAAAGTCAGCGAATTGTTGTGATAAGAGAATTAAGTGCTTAAAACTTTCCCAAACTCTTTAAACAACAATTGGATTTCATTTAAACATAATTTCATCTCAAATGCAAATATTTTTTAGTCATTAAAACTTAAATGAATGAAAATATATTACAATTAGGACTACAATACATTGATTTACTTGTTGTTTAAACATTAAAAACCCCATTTCACACAAGTGTCCCAATTATGCCTTTCCTTAACTTTTATTAATATATTTTTACCTTAATTTCAATTTTTAACACTTTTAAAATTTTTTATACATAACTGGAAATTAAAGGACAATGTGTTGGCGTTTTTGGCAATTATGTAATATTGTCATAATTTCCAACAATTAGTATACAGTAATTGAAAATAATGATTTAACAGTAAAATTCAAAGTTTCTATAGTTTATAAGTTTTGTGCATTTTTACAGTTAAAGGCTTTAACTTAAAGCAAACCTCGATTGCCCTCTAATGAGACTTTATTTGACTTATTGTCAAAACATATCAAAAGCACGTGTTTTACTGTTTATGAAAATAGTGGTGACTTTTAAATCATTTATTTGAAGCATTGATTGAAATTTGTTTAATTGATTGCTTATAATTGTCTCAAACAATGGCTCAAGTATTCAAATGCGGATCAATTGCTAACATTATAAACGCCAATAAGAGTGAAGACAAGACTCTTAAGGCATCGAAGGATAAGAAGAAAAAGAAGTCAATGAAAAAATTCAATGAAATAATTGAAGAAAATAACAATAAATTGATTGAAATCAACAAAATTGAAGCAAAAGATGAAGAATCGGTCGAATCTGAGGACGAATTTGAGACCAAAAGTGGAGAAACAAAGAAACAAAAGGTTTTGAGAGAAAGGGATGAAAGAAATGAAGAGAAGAACGAGAGGACAGTATTTGTGGGAAATTTGCCCCAAAATATCACAATTAAAGTAAGTGTTGATTAATTAGTCACTCATTTGGTTCATATGTTTCAATGTATTTCTTGTACTCAAAGTATTTGAAGAAATTGTTCAAAAGTTGTGGCGAAATACAGAGCATTCGTCTTCGAGGAGCGGTTCCTGAAGAACAGAAAATGTCTAAAAAAGTTGCGGTCATTACGTATGTCTTGATATGAATTGATTTACCAATTGATTCAATGATTATTCATATTTTTAGCAAAAGTTTCAACTCATCAAAGGATAACATTAACGCATATGTTGTCTACAAATCAACGGACGATATGTTGAAAGCCATTAAATTGTAAGTCTATTAGTAATGAATTGTTGAAACTATTTGTGACCATTGATTGAATTGATAGGAATGGCACTGAAATAGACGGACATCACATCCGAGTGGACAAAGCTGTGAAAGATGTGTCTCACGACAGTTCGCGGTCTATATTTGTGGGAAATCTTCCGTTTATTGTCAAAGAAGAGGAATTGTATCAACTTTTTGGAGAGTTTGGAGATATAGAAGCGGTTCGAGTGATAAGGGATTCCAAGACTGGAGTCGGAAAAGGTTTTGGTTTTATATCATTTAAATCAAAAGATAGCGTTATTTTGGCGCTCGAGAAGAATGAGTTCAAATTGAATGGAAGAGAGCTTCGAGTCATTAGAGCTAAGAATGAATCGTCGAATAAAAATAAACCGAAGAAAGAAAGACTTAAACGTAAGTCAAATGAAGACAATTCAGAAGAAACGGTTCCGCAAAAGGAAAGACAATTCAAGAAGAATAAGAAATTGAATTCGAAACCAGAATTTGAAGGAATTGTCGCTAAAAAAGCGAAACAAAAGATAAAGAAGAAGAAAGAAATGAAATCAATTGATATCAAAAGGAAACAAAAGAAATTGTCGCAAATTTTTTCCAAATAGTTGACATTCATTTGGTTTTTAGTTTAATAAAGTTATTCTCATTGCAAACAAAAAACTAAATTTAATTTTACAATAAAATACAAAACATTTGTTATTACAATGGGTTTCAAACAAAATATTAATTGTTATAAATTCAATACAAATGCAAACATAAGAAAATAATAAATAAATAGAAAAGTGTTGAGCGCTTGAGTCGAGCGATTAAGAGCCGGCAGAGTTTGTCAGAAGAGTCTGTTTTCTTAGATCCAAAAGCCTAATGATATTGTGTGGCAAATATTTCCACTGCTTTTGCAGTGAATGCCAGTTAAGGACCGATGTGTCCAAACAGAGCCTTAGTAGTGATTTCGGGACGAATCGAAGTGTTATGATATCTCCGGAGTAGAGCTAAATATATAATTTGATATACACTCACGTACTGTATCTGTCATATGAACTATGCATTCAAACTTACATCTTTGATATTTCGCAAATTAATCAGATTCAATATATTCTGTGTGGCGCCGCCAAACACTATGACTACAATGTATGGAAATGATTACATCAATTGTGACCGATTTCACGGTCTAATCATTAGAGTCTAATGTCTTTACATACTCTCTCCAAAAGGAGATGCGATCGCTGAGTGCCAGAGACGGGGTTTACTGAATGGCAACGCAATGTGACTCCATTGCTGCGATTTTATGTCCAAAAGCCAACAATCGCTAAGAGGTCTATAAGATAATCAATTAAACATTTAAAATGTATTAAACAAAACGTGATAAACACTGTTTTGATGTACCTGTTATCCTGACTAAAACCTCCGTAGAGTACGATTTGGCTCTCAGACAATGGAGTGAATGAATCTTTATATAAAAATTTAGATGAGAAATGATTGAAGAATATATTGAGAAATATTCTTACGCCACGATCTGCCGATAGGAATGAGAGATTCATTCTTCATATTGTTTGTCAACTCTTCACTCCAACACATTCTCTTCATATCAATGAAGTACATGTCATTCATTCGCAGCTCTCTATGTCTTCCGCCAAAAATAAATACTTTGTGACCGACTATAGCGGCCGAGTGTGCGGCACGAGGTATAGGAGCCGTGCCCTCAACTTTAGGCCATTCCCATTGGTTTAGTCCGATGTCATAACAAACCAATTGATTATTCCAACCTCTCTTATAATGCTATCATTTGTAAATATTTAGAACAATTCCAGTGATGTATATAAACGTAAAACACATACCCAATGAGATTTGGGATCAAAAACAAATTGGTAACTTTTTTCGTCAATGTCTGGAACACATCCATAGCCACCAAAGATATAAATTCTAAATCAAATTTAATTGTTATTTATTTGTAAAACTTTTATTCAAACTAAGTGGCAATACTTGTGATTGTATTGCCAGCAAACACTCTTATCACAAGCGATGGGACTCTTTCCCGGAGGAGTCAATCGTTTCCATTTCAGTGTTTTGTGGTTAAGTCTGTAGAGTTGGTCAGAGTTTCCGTCTTCGTTATATCCGCCAAACATATAGATATGAGCGCCGCTTAGTATACAACACGCGCCAGAAGTGCCATCCGGTATATCAGCCGGTCCTGACTCACCCGTGCATCTCTTCAGACACCTTATTGTCGTAATAAACGGTTTCAAATATAATCACAGAATATTCTGTTTGCAAACCATTTCTCAATGAGTGTGTCATAAATCCATAGCTCGTCTGATGACAAGTAATTTGTATGCATTTCGGCCTAAATTAGTGTTAATTGAAAGGAAACTCAATTATTACTATGATATGATAAAATCAAGTCAATGACCCGCCAGTTAGGGCCCAATCATTACCAATCAATTATAATCTGTAACTCAATTGATTGGCAATGATTTTAGTATTATTTCTATAAACATGTAGATTAACAACGAGTTAATTTGAGTTTGCATTCACTCATAGATTCACACATTCATTAATTGTATGAATTAAATGATTTAAATTAAAGTTAAATGTATGGATAGGGATGTGATGGGAATGGGACTCACATTATATCCATTATAACCTCCGAAAACAAACATACGGTTTATCTCGTCATCGAAGGCACACATGTGTCCAATGCGTCCGCCGGCGCCGTCGGCCACGACTTCACTCATTGTTTATTATTTCGTTTCTTTTGTTTGTTTTTATAGAAATTGTGTTTCAAAACAATTTCGAGAAAAAACTCAAATAAATAGTTTAATAGAAGAGAGGAAACGATATTCGCTTAACATTTATACAATTGTTTGATTGAAAGTAATTTAATTTTGCATTCAATAACAGCTATCAGTTTAAATCAAAATAACGTAATCTCTAAATATATCCCGTATTTAATAATAACAACAATAAAAGTTCACTAAACCATACAATCTGTGAAATACGCACTCTCTTCAAGACCATCATCATTCTCTCTCTCTCTCTCTCTCTCTCTCT